CCCTAAGCCCCTAAAGCCCTGAACCCCTAAACCCCTAAACCCCAAAAGCCCTAAACCCCTAAAGCCCGACAGCCCTAAACCCGAAACCCCTGAACCCCCAAACCCCTAAATAACCCTAAACCCTAAAGCCCTAAAGCCCTGAACCCCTAAAGCCCTACAGCCCTAAACCCCTAAACACTAAACCCTAAACCCCTACAGCCCTAAATAACCCTAAACCCCAAAGCCAAACCTCATCCTCAGAGGCACCTCTGCAGGTCGAATCAGATGCCTTTGCAGCAGCCACCGGGCTGACGAACGCGCGGTTTAGGTTTAAGGGTTTTTATGGTTTTTAGGGTTTATGGTTTTTAGGGTTTAGGGTTTTTAGGGTTTAGGGTTTAGGGTTTAGTGTGTGTTTTGGTGTGGGGCATTCGGAGCTTCGGCGTTTGGGTTGGGTGGAGGGGGTTTCAAGCTTTCGGCTATTGGCGAGGTAGTTTTCAGAGTTTGGCTTCAGCAAAACGATAGACACAAGTGAAAAGCGTCCTGTGTTCTGTTGCCGTTTGGCAGAATACTCTTCGTGCCACCTCGGTTTGCTAGGTGGATTGCCCTCGGTGCGAGCTGTTTGTCTATTATATGCTGACCCATAAGTCCACATTCATTGGTTCGGCGGCCGTTGCTTCGCAAGAGTCATGCCATTCCATCTCACCAGGGGACGAGCCTCGTAAAATTCGGATACTGCAAGGTACAGAGATCGAGTACAAGGAGCCGCGTTGAAGCGCAGGATAAGGAAACATTGTTGCCATATGCCGAGATGAAGTCGTTGCAGCCTACACTTGGAGGCTTACTCAAGGCATCTGCGCGCAAGTTGTCAGAAGCCCACCTGACTACCAGTTGCACCGCGCAAGCAGGGCCGCTGCAATGGAGAGGAGCAAGACTAGTCATGCTAGCTCGATGTTGAAACCAATAGACCCTGAAGCCCGAAAAGGCCAAGAGTCGGAGTTTAGAGTTCTAAATATATAACCCTAAAGTTTAGCCCTGAAGGTCTAATCCCCGAACCCCACATGGTTGGGACACTCAACGCAACCCTCTTCCGAATGGAAATGACTGCAACCTGCCAGTGGAAGGTTCTTGGATGACAGGAGGTACCTGGAGGGCTGGTTACAGGCCTCTACGGGAGCCCATATTCATATGGTACAGTTGACTATCATGTTGTGACCTTTATGATTATGTCACGAAACGTAAAACGCCTATGACACAAAACCCAGGCCTCCCTGACTCCTAAGCCGCAAAACCTGCGACCTCGACCACGCAGCAAGAACCTCGCCTGGCTTGTCCGAGTGTGAGTGCCGAAACCCCCAAAATCCTAAACTAAAACCCTAAACCGTAAACCCCCAAAATCCTGAACTAAACCCTACTACCAGTAAGGCCAGCCCAACTTTGTGGTTCGCAGCACGGACGTCCTCCAAACCAGGACTCGCAGAATCCCAGGCAGCCTTCCTTCCGGTTAGCGGCTGTAGGATGCCCGAGTGTAGCATGGTCCGGCTCCATATAATATGCGCATGCTTGTGTATATATATATATATATATACATATATACATACATACACATGTATTTGTTTATGTAGGTTTTATATAACTATGTAATATGACATGGATATATAGCTACTCAGGCCAGAAAGATACGGGGTGAGCAGTTTTTCTTGGGAAGTAAATGATGTTCTAGATATTGGGCCTCGTAGCAGCAGTAGCTGGAGGAGTAGGAGCAGCAGTAGGAATGTGGGTAGGAGCAGGAGGGGAAGTGGCAGTGGTGGTAGTAGTAGTAGTAGTAGTAGTAGTAGCAGTAGCAGTAGCAGCAGTAGCAGTAGCAGTAGCAGGAGCAGCAATGGCAGAAGCAGCAGCAGTAGCGGTAGCAGTAGCAGTAGCGGTAGCAGTAGCAGTAGCAGAGCAGTAGCAGTCGCAGTGTAGCAGCAGTAGCAGCAGGAGGAGAAGTAGGAGAAGGAGGAGTCGCAGCTCCTTCCCGCTTCAGCTTCACTGAGTCCTGCAGCCTTCCCGCCCGTGTCTCTTGACTTGCCAGTCCGTCACCTCATCGACCTGAAACCCCCAAAAGCCTTGAATGAAATCTCTTTCAGCCAAGTGATGTGAAGCTAGAGGGTTTGGGTTTAGGGCTTTGGCCTTTGGGTTAAACAGCCCCGAAGCCCCCACCCTAAGCCCTCAACCCTTAAAGCGCGTCCGAGACCCCGGTCTCGGAGGCCTTCGATTGTTGGAGCCTCGTCTCGACCCCGAAGTATGCTGCGGCGGAGATCGAGCGGGTTCCGATGCAGGCCCTCCGACGGAAGGGTACTTCTACACAGAGGGTCTCTCTCTCTCTCTATATATATTTTCTTTCGAGATATATCCACTATATATATAGATATAGATATATCTACTACTATCTACTACTATGAGTATGGAATTGAGGCCCCCCCAAAAAAAACACAGTAAAGCTGGCCTCTTGGGGCACAAACTCCGTAGTGGTCGTGTATTTGGGCGATCTGGCTCTGGGTCAGAGTGGGCAATATTGGCTTCCAAGGGCCGATCTACTCTCGATAAAAGGGTCTCAGAATCAGAGACGACGTTATACAATGTAGGGGCCTTAATAAGTACCTATATTATTTTGGGGGTCCCAAGACCCTGTTCTAATTATTGCATTAGGGTATGTAGGGCGTGCTCGTTAACTTGGGGGGTACATGATTTGCAGGCTCCGCATTGTGGTAAGGATCCTACCCTTGTTTGTGAATTTACTGGTGTCCCTGATTTTCTAGCACCCCCCATCCATGAATCATGCCGTTCACACACTTAGTTGCAAAATTTGACTATACCACTTTGCAGAGTCCGATAAAACCCTAAACCCTAAACCCCTAAACCCCTAAACCCTAAACCCTAAACCCCTAAACCCCTAAACCCTAAACCCTAAACCCTAGGCTACTTAAGAGCCAAAATCTGTCTCGGTTTCAGGCCGGGAGCCCTAGATCCTAGGGTTTAGGGTTTAGGGTTTAGGGATGGAGCCTCTGGAGCTCTTTCTAGCACATGGGTGGTTGTCAAAATTGGGGTCCCTTTTGGGTCCTTATTATAATACGGCACCTATTATTTGGGGCACCCCAAAAGGGATCCTAATTTTGACAACTACCCATATGGGAGTGCCAATTTCAGGGGTCCTTGTAGGAGTAATCCTACCATTTCAGGCTTCGCCGTTGTAGGATTGAAGAATGCTGCCCTAAACACTATACACCCCCAAAGTTCGACCAAAGACCAAACCAAAACTTCGCGTGACCTAGTCGTTTAGTGCCTTGGTCATGTAGTTTTAACTTGTTTGTGGCTGAGTGGGTAACGTTTCATAATCTTGTTATAATCAAAAAGGTCAACTGGCTCTGGTATTCACCCCCCGAAAACGGGTTTTGTTTGTTAATGAGGAGGTCTTTCGAGCTCGAGGCTGTGGGGTTCGAGATTCAGCTCTTCCGAAACTGTTTTCAAAATTTGTGCCCTCGACCATGCTAGATGTCGAAAAACGGGTGGCCAGCATTTTGCATATATATATATATATATGTACACACATGAGGTTGTTACCTGTTACTGTTGATGGGGCGCCCCTAAAACCCTAGAACAACCATAAAATCTGCCATAGAACTCTAGCCGCGACCGCAGCCAGCAGTTTTGCCCTTCTTGGTCCGCCCTTATCGTGCTTTCGTCTCGCCACGGCCATGGCTGTCTCAGCTTCTTGGCTTTTGCCTCCTTTGGTTTAGGGCTCTACAAGACGCTACAAGGTTTAGGTGTAAGAGTTTTGGAGTTTAGGTTCTGGGGTTTGCGGGGTGTGCGGTTGAGGTTGAGGATTGAGGGGTTTGTGGCTTAGAAGTGAGATGTTAAGTTGCGGGCTTAGGTCAAGGAAGAATGTTAAAGGGTGTGGCCCGAATCAGGAGCTAGATTGGAGGTTGACTCGAAAACTAGTTCTGCTTTTGGTGAAGAGCACCGCCGTTGAGGGTGGGCTAAATTCGGCTTGCACTGCACCAAGAAACTGGAGAAAGCCTGGCGCATCATACAAACACTATAAAACCTCCGCCTATCTTATCGTCGAGCTTAATTCCATAGGCTTCACGCAAGAGGTGGTGCCTGGAGATCCATGCCCCGAAGAGAGCCTCCATCTTTGCATCAGCAGGCCTACTGTATATCCTGCGTCAAAACCCAAATCAACACTTGAATCGATGTACATAGCCGAGGCAGCCCGCAGATCAGCACGAACGACGAGGCTGTTGCCTGCAGGGTGCAAGCTTCCATGTGTTCTGTTTTTTTGTTTTTTTTTGTTTTGGTTTTGTTTTTGTGGTCTTTGATCTATTAAGGATTCCGGGTACAAAGCGTTCCGGCTTAGCGCTTGAAGGGTTTGCAATCCATATGCCAATAATATTTGTGTGTACCTGGGTTTCGGATGCGACCTTTCGCTTTTGGACGTGAGTCCTCTACAGTGCCGATAGAGTTCAGCGCGCCGTGCGAAATGTCTACGTCAGAACCCTTACTGAACCCTAAACGGTGAACATCCCTACAACCGTACCTTGAAGGCGGTTGAGCCAGAGCCTAAACCCTGAAACCCTAAACTCCTGAACAAGACGGCCTCTTCAGGAAACCGCTAGTTTTGTTTCTGGCACTTGTGGCATACTTGCAGCTTGGCATGGATCTGGCAGGGGTTCCTGTTGTCCACAGTAGCTGATGGGTCATAGGTTGTCGATCTAACCTGGTCGGGTTCTGGAATTGATTGAAACCGTGACAACCCGTCGTTCTTGCTTGGGACTGGCTTCAGACGGCCTAGTTCTACCAGTGGTAACGAGTATATTGTTATCACCAAACTTCATATACCTTGTGATTTTTTGATATTGTTGTACTTGTGCATCGTTGTGCTACTGTTGCCGTTGGGGCGCATTAGATGCCTCTCCTGGCACCCATCTGATAAGAATGGCATACCCTCTACGGGACCCCGAGGTAACTGCCCACATGTACCGTACCTTGGGAACTCCCCCCGAAGACGGAGATCTCAGCTACGCTGGAATCCTCCAAACCCAGAGCCTCCCCGACCTGAGCCCGATAAAACCTACCGTTTAAGGGCGTCCCCCCCAGCTATGATTTCGTTACATACCTTAGGGTTTAGGGTTTAGGGTGAGAGCCGAACTTCTGTAGGCTCGGACTTTCAGGCGATGGCACAAGTCCTGATGCAAAAAAGGGTTACATACCTTAGCCCCAAATAACCTACCTCTTTAAGGACTTATATAAAGAAATCGTAAGAAGGAACCCTAAAAAGGTAGGTTCAATCGGGTCCAGGCAGGTCCTTAAAAGGGCAGGTTAACTGAGATTAAGGTAAGTCCTAAGCCCGAGAGACGCGAAGGTCGACTGAGAGCTTTAACCCTGGAACTCTTCGAATCCCCCAAACGCCGAGACCGCAAGCAGCAGCCGAAACCCTGAACCCCCAGACCTCATTGCGTCATGGACTTCGGGACCCTATTCTGATGTTTGGGGCCCAGGTTTCTATAACCTAATAACCTATATCCTAAACCCCAGGCCCCAAACCCTAAACAACCCTAAATCCGTACACTACGGGATTCTGGATGCGCCTGCAGTCGGAAAAAGGCGTTCAAAAACAACAGTCGTATGCTCCACATAAGCTCCATTGTGATTCCTTTTTGGGGTGTACCTTGTAGGATCCGAATTAGAAACCACAAAAACGACCTACAATGGAGCCTATAGGTAGGGACCGGAGAGCCCTTCAAGCCACAGCCGAGGTACGCACCCTCTTTCGTGCTGCCAGCTGCGCCTTCGTCCCGACCCTTGCGCCAGCCCAGTGCTCTGCGGGATGTTCGGCTCCATGCGCGTGGAGGTATGTGAAGAGGGTTTTGGGTCAAGGATTCGGGGTGTGTTACCCTCAGGGTCCATGTACCCAAATAGTAGAACATTGGCCCTAAAGTACCTATATAGGGACTACATTAAGGCCAAAGTATATACCATTTGGGTACATGGACCCTTAGGGTTACAGTGTTGTTTAGGCTTGGGGTTGACGTTGAGGGCTTAAGGCCCGAAAGTTTAAACCCCAAAAGGGTTTCAGGAGAAGTCGAATCCCGGGGTTAAGAATTTTCGGGTTCGGGGTTCGCGAACACCCGGAAAGGTATGTTTACCTTTGGAACTTAGGCAGGAGCTTTGGACATTAACTTATTGGTTTACCCATTCCTTTAGTAGGGTCATGTAGGGTCTAAAAAGTTGACTTTGACCCCAAGACTAACTAAACCCTAAACCCTAAACCCTAAACCCTAAACCCTAAACCCTAAACCCTAAACCCTAAACTAATCAAGGTGCTCATAGCCATACGTCATTGAGCATCCAGGGTCAGCCTGAACGCTGTGGCAAACCTAGTCACCCCTATCCGCCAGCGTGGTGGGCGGCACGTCACACAATACCTCACTATAACTAGCCAGTTTAGGGTTTAGGGTTTAGGGTTTAGGGTTTAGCCAGACAGTTTCAAGCAGGCCTACCGCTGGCTTTGGAAATGCTCGGGGTCTTGCATGTTCAGGTTCAGGCTTCAGGGATTCAGTTTGCTTTATTCGTTACGCGACGGACAGCCTGGAGAGGCCCTTGAGCAGTCCCTGTCTTGAGCCTGAAATAATTACAAATACTATTTTGGGGTTCCGTATTATAATTATAGTATAGTAATGGGCCCCAAAACCCTACTCTAATTTTTCAGGCCCTATATACTGTTTTTCATCTATGGCTTGTATTGATGGTGATGTCGCGTACGTTTTTGCGAGCATATACTTATCAATTATTTGATGTAGGGGGACTGACCCATCTGGACTCTATTTCGAAGCGCGCCGATCCCCTCCCCCTGACGAGGTGAGAGTGATTCGGCAAAGCTCGCTGTGGGCGACGAGGTGAACGCTTTGCATCTTGGCCATGACGTATACCATAAACACACCCTATCTCAAAAGGGATACCCTAAGCTCTAAAAAGTATTGTGGCAGGGATCCCAATATGAAGGCCCTTATAGATGGGTCGAGGCTTCCATTGTTTAGGGCTCACGGGTCCAGGCCACACCTTTCACACTTGTCTACAGCCCCTAATCTAAAGGCCTGAAGAATTACTCATCAGACTTCCTTGTCATGGTAATGGCAAAAATTACACCACCCTCAAAAAGCACCATTCCTGTTTGGAGACCCCTACGTTGGGATGTAAACGCCACATGCAGCACATTGTACTCTAATGACAGTGCTGTTTTGGGTCTCCCAAAAGCAACGGCTCTATGCTACGAAACAGGGTGCCCTCTATGCTTGAGGTTACTGGAGTTTGTTGGGTAATGTGAGTTATGACTAAGTGTACTCGAATAGACTCTTGGGAAATTCCGGTCTTCAAAACTGGAAGACAGGAGAAGGATCGTTCGCTGTGGAGGTTGCGTCTATCTGCAAGCGGCCCGTAACGCTAAACAAACCTGAAACCCTAGAAATCTCCCAAGCAAAACCGCTGCAGGTATCCGGATGACGAGCAATGGTATCCCGGCACGATCGAAAAGGTGAACGACGATGGCACCTACAAGGTCAAGTGGGAGGACCCTGAGGGAGGCCCAGCCCCTTGGCATTGGACAGTTTAGGGTTTTGAGGTTTAGGGTTTAGGGTTTAGGAGTTTAGGGTTTAGGGTTTAGGGTTTAGGGCAAAACGGGATTAGGCTTTAGGGAATCTTTGCTAATTCATCAACATGAGAATGCCCAGT